GTCCCCAGGCCCCTGCTGCTCCCCGGGGAGCAGCAGCCGTGACCCCCCCACAGGGGGCTGCCCTTCCAGCCACCAGCCCACAAATGCCATTGCCTCTCTTCGCGGGGCCTCGGCCGCCTAACGCGGTGTCCTCGTTGGCACAGGCACCGTCACCTCTTGGGTGGTCATCTTCATCCTGCCCATCAACAGCGCCCTGAACCCCATCCTCTACACCATCACCACCGCCTCCTTCCAGGAGAAGGTGAAGGGGGGGCTGCAGACCCAGCAGCCGGAGCTGCACGCTCTACCCTGGTGACGCTGCCGGCTTGACCACCCCCCCCACGGCCCGGGGGTGCCCGTGGCTCCCCAGCCCCACGAGAAAGCGCCCGGCTCGGCTCTGGGACGCTCCTGTGTTGGCAGCATCGCTAAGCATAAAGGTTTCCTCATCAGCCAGCAGATCTCATTAGTACTTTTATTAATTACATGGATGGGAAGAGCAGCCCCGATCCAAGTCAAACAATCTGTTGTGGTTGCGTGCGATACAAAACCAAAGTCCCTTAAATACAAAATACGCGTCTTCGAAGTGATCACCTGGCACTGGGCTCTACTGCCAGAGTTATATATTAATATTCCAACTGTACAAGTATTTATAGATAGAAAAAAAAAAAAAGAAACATTTAAAAAATATATTAGGAGAAAAATCACTCCCCCAAATGTTAGTTATATTTTTTATATATATAAAATATATATATATATATAAAACCACAGAACACAGGCTGGGTTGCTTCTTTTTCAGCAGAAAAGAAGCAGATAGGATGTGTTAGGGCAAAACTGACACGGGGGACGGCTCCCACGCGTGGGTCACGTTGCCTTCCAGTTGGAACGGTGTCTGGAGCTTGGGTCCCTGCCTGAACGGAGAAACCAGGTCGGGTCCTGGGCGTCCTTCACTGCAGCAGACGGCTTCACCGTGGAGGAAAAGGGAGGGACAGGAAGGGGAATGGACGTTGCCACAGGACGGGAAGGGGAATGGACGTTGCCACAGGGAGTAGCATTAGGGGGGCAGCTCTGCCCCCAGGATGGGCACGGGCTCTGCCCTGTAGCTGCCCAAATTGGGGTGAATCCAGGCCAACTCCTTACTGCAGAGGCCAGGGCAGGACTACTGAGCCGGGCTCGCGCTTGGCCCAGCCTGGGCGACCACGCTTTGCTTGTTAAAGGCCGCCGATGCTGCGCAGGTGGTGGGGATGAGCGCCCCTTCCCACCCTGCAGCCAAGTGCCAGGGCGGCTGCTCCTGGGCTCCAGCGCTGTCCTGCCCCCGCCGCGTGCCGGGTCGGCTGGTGGGGAGGGACAGGCTCCCTTGGACCATCAGCCATCCAGCCCCCACCGACACCTAGCGCCCAAGAGAGGGCTTTTAGCCGAGCAAGGGCAGGGCACAGCCCTAGAGGGATTTCTTTTCTTCTCCTACGACATTCGGCACCACAGGTAACGGCAATGGGTTCCTTCTGCCTCGCCACACGGGCTGGCGCTCAGGGCACACC